AACCTTCGAAAACATCAACTGTGTTGACAGGGCTATCCAATTCATGCAAAAATATATACTTCCTCAAGCCAGGGAAGAGTGGCAAAGGTGACTCCTATTTCTCAACGTCATCATATCAGTATGACCCTCACTACATTCTGTTTGCACATGCATTCAGTGGTTGTGATACAACCTCATCCCCATTCGGCCATGGAAAGACCAAACTGTGTACCCTTATTGAGAAGAACCTTGAGCTCAAGAAACTTGCTTCAGTATTCTACAAGTCTGAAGCAACCAAAGACGAAATCAACCGTGCAGGAGAGAAACTTTTTATGGCACTGTACAATCCTGGAGTGAGCACTAGTCAGGGAATCAACGATATTAGATACCAGATGTTTGTCAAGATGAGTACAAAAACAAAGATCAGCCTACTCAGATTGCCACCTACAAAAGATGCAGCTGAAAACCATGCGTTCCGCACATTCCACCAAGTGCAATGCTGGCTGGGTAACAATCTAGATCCAGTAGAATGGGGATGGAAACGTGACAGTACTGGCCTCATTCCGAACAAAATGAAAAACGATCCAGCACCAAAGACTTTGCTGCAACTAATATACTGCAGCTGTAAGAAAGGATGCAACAGTGCATGCACCTGCAGAAAATCTGGTTTGAATTGCACTAGTTTGCAAAAACTGTTCAGGAATTTCGTGCACTAACACTCCGCCAATTGAGATTGATGAGGGAGACAGTGATAAGGATTGTGTTGAAACAGATAAGGAACTTGATGTTAAAGCTTGTGAACAAGATTACGTTGAATCAGTTTGTCCGGTACCGGAAACTTACGATCAACCTGGGCCTTTCAAACGTCAAAGACTTATGTAATTCCCCCATCATTTACCATGTTTTATATATCCATCGTAATGTTTACCCCTTCCGAATAATAAACATTTTAATTCATTGAAGCTTTTACTATGTCATTTCCTGTTATACCTAGATGTACAGTTGCTATATGCAAGACAGTGGCGACAATAGCGACTAAACCCCGCCCATCCGCCATGTTGCATCCAATGTCAAATTGAAAGTAACTTTAAAAAAAAATAAATTAAGTTCAAAAGTATTTTTCTCTTAAATTTTATGCACAGTTTTAGGCAAATAACTCCCTTGGAAAGTGATTTTAAATAATGAATGAATATAGAATCTACTTGCGCAATAGGGAAGGATAAATATATAATAATAACAACTTACTATTTTTATATTTTACATAAGCATACCTACATTATACAATGAAATTTATTGGGTTTACATTAGAAAAACGAATGCTTAATACTAGTGATAGTATTTGTTACAATAAATGTCCAGCAACACTTTTACTTGCAAGCTTTTTACATGCTTTTTGACATTTTTTGGAAGCTATTTTTAATCGGAACATAATAAATCTTTTAACAATTTTATTTTCGATCTGATGACAATTTGGTAGATCTAAATTTAAACCAGACATTTCTTTTAAGAAAAACTCTTAAATTTATGTTTTGTCAAGATTCAATCACAAAAAATGTTGTAAAAGTACTTTCCATCTGCAAGAAGAAACAAAATACCGCTTCATTGCAAAAAAGACTGAATGTTCTCTAAATCTCTTAAGTACGCTAAAATTTGAACATGTTTTATAGATCGGCGTTTTAGAACCAACAGCATGCAGACAGTTTGTACAAGTTTTTGATGTTTTAACGATACTTTGGGCAATATATCCGCACACATTATAAAGATAATTTAATTCACTAAAACTAAGATTAAATTTTATTTCTTCTATGTTAGCAGGAACCTTAACTTCCTTATAAGTAGGTCTTAT